TATCTCTCTCTCTCTCTCTCTCTCTCTCTCTCTCTCTCTCTCTCTCAATATGTTTGTATAGTTTTGTCAATGAATGACTTAGTGTTGATTTTCATTTAAATGCGAATTTTGATTTGTAATCAATACTTAGTGCTTTAGACTGGCTGGACTAGGGTTTCTATTTGTAATCAATACTTAGTACTTAGTGTCTCTATATAATTTTTATGTTTTCTATGATGATTTGTGATCTTTTCCTATTACATGCTCTGTTTTTCTATTTTTCCCTTTTGTCTTTTTCTGAATCATTTCAAGCTATAAATCATTTTTCCATATTCCATATCCTATATACTTTTCTCTGTTTTTTTTAGACTTTTAATGATTTTTTTTTTTACTTATTTAGTTTTTTACTAAATTTTTAAAAAACTTTTTGTATTTTTTTCCCAATTTTGAGCCCTTTTTTCAGATTGTACATTAATCAGATGAATCCTCTCACCCGAATTACTTGGCTTGGCCCGGGCTCATTTCACATCGCTTCAAACTATTCGAAGATCTTTAGTTAGTGAAGATTATTGAGTCTTTTTTCTTTCATTTTCTCCCTTTTTGAACAGTGGATACAGATATTGAGATCTATCTGTCTTCTATTTATTCATTATAATAGCAGAATTCTATTTTTCAGACCATGAACCTATATTTTGCGTTGAGATGAACTTCATTTTTCCTTGATTTTTATCTTCTTATAGAACGAGGTAGTTTTGTTCACTAACATTTGCAAGTCATTTCAGGCCTTTGTTGAACTTCAGGGTCGTATGATAGAGACTACAGGGAAATTGAAGCAGGTATTAATGTTGGGAACAAGAGCCACATGTTTTTTTATTCTTTGAATTTCTATGTTTGCTTGTACAATCCTCACTTCAACTATATTTGAACCAACTTTGATTTATGTGTAATCTAATTATTAAAAAAATCCTTGTTGAATCCTTGAACAGAGCTTCTTTCATTACACTAATTCGTGGATGGGAGATGCATTTCCTAGTTCCTCCATTAGAAATTCTTCCAAGAATTCTGAGACTAATCTTTTGAAAATTGTGCGTACAATATCAAAGTAGCTGGGAGTACTGTATCAAATCAAAATCTGTATCTTTTCTTCGAAAACAACTTAATCCACCACCCAGTTTCATAATTCCTCTTTGAAAATCTCTTGCCCAGCCTTTTTTAATTTAAGAAATGCTAGTATTACTCCACCTTATCTATCAATCGGAGAAATCCGCCTCTTCTTAGAAAACAGCTAGTAGGATGTGGTATTTATTGTTGTACTCCTCCCCCATCTTGTGGTTTGACATCAAGGTTGAGCTTGATCAGTGTAATCAAGATATCAATGAATTCAAATGAAAATGTGCCAGGACTTAATGATAAATAAAGTTATGTTCCCTGTAAAGGCATGCACAATTGCACAAAAAAGAACAAAATCTAACACACTGTTAGAAACATGAGTACCCTTCAAGCGTATGCAAGAGATATACAATAAGAAATAATAAAAGAATGACAAAGTGCTCCTATAGGCAAATAAGCCAAACAAGAGGACTCTGAACCTGGTGCATACATTTTGAAGCTCGAAGCAAACAAAAAGATAGTAATCCAAGGGATCCACATCTCTCATATTTCAATCTCTTGTTTTGCTAAAAAATTTAATATCACTCCATGGTTATACAATTGGGTTACTGTGTTGTGATTATTTTCCCAAAACTGATATTTACTATGTTAATTTTAAGATACCATCTGCTAATTATAGTGACTTTCTGGTTCTCCTTTCTTTGTCTGTTTTCATCAATATTGTTTTTCTTGATTTCTTTCAGGTACAAATGCAAATGCGAAATAAAGAAGCAGAGAAGAAACGAGCCTACCTAACACTGGAAGAGCTACAGCAGTTATCTGATGATACAAACACATACAAGTCTATCGGTAGGTATCATATTTTACTATTAACAAATAATACACAATATTTCTTGCACCTTCAAAAAAAATAAAAATAATACACAATATTTTACTCTTCTACAATGGGGGTTGTTGTATGTTGTGCATTAGTAGTTTGGGAAACTATTTGCAATCCAATAGACTATGGGAAAAACCATGGCTCACTAGGTCATCACCATCTATTGAAATGATGGATATTGATGGGAGTGCCAAGATCCAGCAATGCTATCTATTTATGTCCTGTTCTGGTGTGTCCAACTCTCTCTCGATCACCATTCATCATTTTAATGAGAGGTGGTTCCTTAGGCTTTGGATTAATGGCAAGTCATTTGGTATGCATGAGGGAGGTCGGGATTCCACCCTGAATGAGGACAGTGTAATCTTTCTCCATGTAGTCTACTGTTTGTATACCACACACTCTCCTGTCCGTTCTCAATGATGGATGGTGGTGATGAGACATTCCGCTGCTTGTGTGTACGAAGATGAAAGAATCGCTCATCTACACCGTTCTTCATTGAGATTGGGGGTTGGAGACCTACATGTAGTAAGAACATCTTGAATTTCCTCAAAACTAAAACCTAGCTGACCTACCCGAAGTGAGCCAGTATGTCTATGAACTCCTATGCAAACTAAAACATCAAAAATATAGATAAGAGTCATAGCAACTACTGTATGCACAAACTTTAGTGTGATAACTAGCTACTGGCACTCCTATTGCACAAGGTACCATAGGAAATCAGATGAAAATGATTTCTAAAGTGTTGCTTCTGTAATTATTTAATTTCCATCTAAGATTTATTCAAATTCTTATGCTTATTTTTATTTTATGGATTCTGGCTATTTTATATCTTTCGAAACAAATCTTGAATTAATAAAATTATGTTTAATAAAAATTCTTAGTTCGTTGTTTTGATGTGAATTCCTACTTTCGTGGGAAATTCCTATTTTAACTCCAGGAACTCTGATGAAGCCTATTCAATTTCTTAACAAATAAAAATTTTCTTAAGGTTTTGTTTATTTATGTTTGGGTTTTTCTTCCTGCTCATTTTCTCTTATTTATTTATTTTAATGGATATGGATATTTCCTCAAAAGAAAAAGGATATGGATAAGAAATGACAGATTTTTTAGGGTGACCGTAGATATATACTTTTCTAAGAAACTTTATCTTTGGATCTTGCATACTGAGAAGAGGGGATTTTTAAACAGAGATTTTAGGATAAGTGGGGGGGAAAAGAGTCACAGTAAGGAATTCAAATGTCACAGTTCTATTACTTTCTCACACACACACACGTTCTATTGGTTCATATGCGCATTATTAAAACACTCAAATGGATAGCACATATGAAACTTTAAAATATTTTTAAAATTGGGAGTTTCTTGATCTGTTTATTTTATAGAGCTTGAATAACTGTAAGAACTGTATAAATTATGGTGGTCATTTACATATTTCAAATCTTTTACCAAGGTTCAAACGAATTGTTATAGAATCACAACATTATCAACCACTATAACGACTGTTATAAGTGGTCCATCATAACATAACAGAGCAACTAAATGCTACCATTACTTGGCCATACTCAGCTTTATCTTTTACTGCCCTTATATGACTTTTCCTTGTTTGTTGCATATGCAGGGAAAGCGTGAGGCCTCATATTCCTATCTCTGTCATCCAAACTTTGCTCGTGAAAATAAATATCTATCGGAACTTAATTATATCCAATTAATCAAAAAGAAAAACATGTAAGAAAAAAATCCTTTGGGTTTTGCTAGGTTTGTTTTGGAGCCAAAATCAGACCTTATAAAGGAGCAACAGCAGAAGTTCAAGGATAGCGAGACCGTTCTAGCCTCTCTCGAAGTGGGTTTTTCCTCTCTCTCTCTCTCTCTCTCTCTCTTACTAACTATTAGTGTTGTATCCATCTACTTCTTTACTTAAACTAATACAGTGTTAGTAAAGTTGCCGAGGCTCAGATCAGGACGCCGGTTCGTTTCCGACGGACCAAAACTACCCAAGAAATCACACGAGTCTCCTGTT